TTCACATATTGCAAAGAATTTAGAAATCGTTCATTTTGGGCAACATATAAATATATATAATTAATCAAATAATAAAGGTCAAATAATTAGCTCTTTAGATTTTTATCTTAGTCATCTTGGACTGCCACAAAAGACCATAACTTGGTGGCTTAAACAATAGAAATGAACTTTCCCACAATTATGAAGTCTAGAAGTCCAAACTCAAGGTGCTAGCATAGTTTGTTTCTGGGCTCTTTTCTGGATTGAAGATGGCCACCTTCTCACTGTGTTCTCACAGATGGGCAGGAGTGGAGGGGAGTGAGAAAGTTCTCTGGTGCATCTTCTTATAAGGGCACTAATTTCATCATGTTGGCCCTACCCTGAAACCTCATCTAAACCTTATTATCTCCCAAAGGCCCTATATCCAAATATTGTCACACTTCAGGTTATGGCTTCAATATGTAAATTTTAGGGAAATACAATTCAGACCTAGCAATGTTTGAATGTATTTCATAAGTTCAACATATACTTCTTATTAAATAAGACTAGAAAAATATTTTCTTAAGATAATACAATGTATTTATCTCAAAACAAATGTCAACATCATGTTTAATACCAAAACAATAAAATAATTTCAATTGTAGATAGAAACAGAAAAATAGGCTGGGCGCGGTGATGCATGTCTATAATCCTAGCACTTTGGAGGGCTGAGGTGGGTGGATCACCTGAGGTCAGGAGTTTGAGACCAGCCTGGCCAACATGGTGAAACCCCATCTCCACCAAAAATAGAAAAATTAGCTGGGCACGATGGCAGATGCCTGTAATCCCAACTACCTGGGAGGCTGAGGCAGGAGAATCACTTGAACCTGGGAGGGAGAGGTTGCAGTGAGCCAAGATCATGCCATTGCACTCCAGCCTGGGCAACAAGAGTTAAACTCTGCCTCAAACAAAAAAAAAGAAAGAAAAATTGTATTTAATGTCACCATTTTTTTCCAAATAAACTTAAATAATTTACATAAAGAAAATGCTCATCTTTTAAGTTCAAGGTGTGACAAATATATACACCTGTTTCAATCTTTTGTCCTATACTATTTGCTTTCCAGCTTCCAAAATTTTTTATCTTGTCTATCCTTCCTATACCTGATTTCTATCCTTGTAGATTTATGCACTTCTAAAATTATCATTTACTCTAAGTTTATTGAGGACAAAGAAAAGAGGAAAGCAGATGTGTTTGCTCAATCTACCATCTTTACTTGAAAGTTTCCTGGGAAAGATTTCTAAAAGGATCTAACTCTACTTATGTATCAATTACCATTTGGAACCAAATAAACTAACCTCTAATCTAAAGGCTTAAAACAACAACCATTTATTTAGGTTATGATTCTGTAGGTCATTGCCTTCTCTTCCCTGAAACTTCCTCTTGCTCCTATACTAGAATCTGTCAGTGGTTGGTCCTGTCTTAGGCTGTTCTCTGCCAAACCCTTGCCTGACACTGGCAGCCACCTTGGTGGTGTGCCTCTCATTTCTTAAGTTCTGGTCTTAAAAATAAAATGTAGAGAGAAAGCTGTTCTTTTTTCTCATATACTTCATAATAATATATTTGTATGTGTTTTTAAAATGTAAGTTTAATTAAAAATATGAATAAAATCCTTTATAATCAATCCCAGCAACTCCAAGCAACTTCTGACCTAAACACATACAATTACCTTTTCCATTTCGAATTTTTGAAAAACTGTGGAATATTTGAGGAGCTCATAGTTGCCAAGAGTGTTAATATTTTCCAAATAAGCAGTATATCTGAGAAATCTGAAAGGCAGCCCTGTCCTAAAGCTTCATTGGATAAGGCAATTCTTGAGTTTCCACAACTGCTGGCTTCAGCCTACCCAGAGAAATAGTTTTAGAGATATATTAATCTCTGAGAAATCCACAGTAATTCATAGAATGCTTGCACAGTGATTCAAGCAGCATGTGTAAAATTTATTTAGTGTTTGGCCAGGAAGAGTTTTAATTATGTGAAGTCTTCAGAATGAGCAGAAGGTGACTAAAGATGTTTGACTAAATCAGTTATGGAGGACCTGGATTCTCCCAGACCTCCCTCCAATTTTGTTTTATTTCTGCAAACCTCAAACCATAAATGCAAAGCTCTCATGGAATTGGATGATGGCACTGTTAGAACCAAGATGCAACTAGTAGAAACGTCATCCAAGACAGGAGATAAGAACAGCAGCAGTCTTGAGCCCTCCAGTGTAGCAAAAAGGTCAGGTGTCCAGTGGTGGGTTATCTACAACCAGGGTAGGCTCAGAGGTGAAAAATTATGGGATTTTTGAAAACCCAAGAGGCAGGATGCAAGATGCGTCCATCAAAAACCTCAAGTAAGTGCAAGGTGGAGTGTGACCACCTGCTGGTCAGCTCACACTTTCTGAGTTCCTGGCATAGTGTGGTGTTGAACTTGAAGTAGCACCTGCAAGTGGAGAGAGGGCCAGGGTCCATTTCTGAGGATGATACAGGCATGGGGACTGGGCCTTGCAGGAAGAAGAGTTGAGCCAACCCTATTGGGCTTAAAAATGGTCAATAATCAGAAGCCACAAGGTGTCACCTAGGCTGATGGAACAGTTAGAAAACCGCAGTTATCTTTAAGGATGACTTTTCATCCTCTAGGTTTTGTCCATGGATATTAGGACCCCAGCACAAGACTTGGGGCAGGGGCTTTTGTCCCAGGAGACTGTATGTGTCAGAACCTCAGAAAGGGGACAAGAATTTTCGGAGACAATCAAAAGCCAGTCCTGTGAGGTAGAGCACAGAAGCTGGAGTGAGGCTGCAAGGTTCTCATAATCATCCCTAGATTGACCCACAGCATGAAGGTCAGGGGGAGCTGCTGAAGTATTTACTCCCTCAAGTCACACAAGCCTGGGCACCAAAGTAGGCTTTTCCTAGCTGAGAGGAGTATGGAAGGGAACCAGACCGACCTGACCTGGAGTTCAAAACACTGAGGTTGAGACGATGATGTGAGTAGGAGTCTCCACCTGGGTTTTCCAGAGATCCCATCAGCACCAACATGCCCTAAATTTATTCCCCCTGCTCCCCTGTGTTTTCTTTTCTCTATACTGTTTATAGTACCAATCACTCAGGCTGAAGCTCATTATGGGCCCTTCATCTTCTCTGCCCTGAAAATTCTACCTCATATCCTTTCTCTCTATCTCCACTGTCACTCCCCTAACTCAGAAATTTCTCCCTTTTCTTCCTGCTATTGTTCCCCAATCTCATATGGTGGTGGCAGGCTGAATAGGGTTCTAATAATGTCATTGCTCTGTTCTAAAATCATAGAAGTATTCACATTACCTGGAATAAAATTCAAATTAAGCCTGTACATCAAAGCCCTTCCTGAGTTTTTTTCAATCTACCTTTCCAATGTCGGGCAAACAAAACCACTCTCTTCTCTGTACACTTTTTACTCTGTTCTACCTTTGCATTTTGCTCTGCATGGAATACATTTCTCTGCATCACTGCATTTCTGAATCTTACCCATCCTTCAAGACCACCTCCTGCGTGAATGTTCTCTGATTTTCCTCTGCAGGCAGCTCTTTTGGACTCCTGGAACCACATGTCCTATTGTTTTACATTTAAAAACAGGATATGCTTTTAACATTTTTTCATTAAGTGATAAGCTCCTTGGAAATAAGGGCCTTGCATCAAATTCACCTTTATGGAGGCATAGGGAGAGCCAAGAACATTGAATTTGACCAGTTCGTAATAAATGTAAAAAGTTTGGTGGAATAACTTTGAAAAGGTAGATTGGAGTCGTGTTGTGACTCCGGAGTCATAGCTAAAGGTGGTTGGGAATAATCTGCAGAAGTATAGAAATAGATGCGGTAACCCTGAGAAAGAATATCAAATATGAAGGGAAAAGATCTATGGCTGGACGCTCAGGGAACATCACCTGCAAGTGTTGGATGGAGAATGAAGAATCCCTCACGCAGACTGGCACACAATGATTGTATAGGATAAAAGACAGTCACAATATTCATACTACACTGGGCATGAAAAATAATTCAGCCCTATTGGTCCGTCACACCAATATGTGCATGGGTAAGTCTGATGAAAATGTCTGTTTTTTTCCCTCTAGAATTGCAAATAGGGCAGAATTGCAAATACGGAAGGACGCCCTGACAGACTTATAAACCCTTAATTCAGAACATTAGAAAAATTGATTTTAGCATGGGCAACATGGCAAGGTCCTATCTCTACAATTTTTTTTTTCTTTAATTTATAGAGCATGGTGGAATGTGCCTGCAGTACCAGCTAGCTGGGAGCCTAAGGCAAGAGGATTGCTTTAGCCCAGGAATTTGAGGCTCCAGTGAACTATGATGGCACCACTGCACTCCAGTCAGAGCAACAGAGATCCTGTCTTAAGAAAAAAAAAAAAGTGATCCACTCATTGCCATAACTTTCCTAACAAATGGAACCTCCCAAGCCCAGTAAACCTGAGACATCTACAAATATGAAAATGCCACACATAAAAAAAAATAAAAAGCCTCACAAGAAGGAACACACAAATGGGAATGAGAAGGATTCCTGGTGGTCTGATTTTGTGTTGGGCTCCCAGTTCCAGAAGTTATTTTAAAGTTGAACATAATTATTAAAACCAGAGTATAAGCACAGAGACCCTGAGGCAGTAAATAGGGGTTGAATGGGGGCTTAAAAATCCTGACTACAGGGAACCTGAAAGATTAGGGAAGCCTTTCACAGAGCTGGATAGAGAAGTTCTAGGTGGGCCGAACGTGGTGGCTCACGCCTGTAATCCCAGCACTTTGGGAGGCCGAGGCGGGTGGATCATGAGGTCAGGAGATCGAGACCACGGTGAAACCCCGTCTCTACTAAAAAATACGAAAAATTAGCCGGGTGTGGTGGCGGGTGCCTGTAGGCCCAGCTACTCAGGAGGCTGATGCAGGAGAATGGCCTGAACCCGGAGCTGAGATCTTGCCACTGCACTCCAGCCTGAGTGACAGAGTGAGACTCCATCTCAAAAAAAAAAAAAAAAAAAAAAGAAAATTTCTAGGTGAAGGGTGTACAATCCTTACTGGATAGGAACTGTGTAGAATCTTGGGACAGTGAGCAGCTTCCACTTGAGACCTTTCTGATCATTCCTGACCAGGGGAACTACTGCCATTGACACACAGGACCTGCTCTGTGTCAGCTAAATTTAATTCTGTGCAGACAAACTGCTGAGCTCCTGGGAGGTAAAAAGCCCTCAGCCAGGCAGACATTTACCTGATCAAAGCACAGAGGCCCTCTGAAGCCCAGCCTGGTAAAGATCCTACCTGAGACCATAATAATCTTACACTTTATTCCAATACAATGGAGGCCAAACTACTTGTTTAAATGGTTCTACAAATGTTTGGTTGAAATTACATTTTATTCTTTATTCAGATTAAGGTATAATTGCCAAATTACAATTATATATACTTGTGGTGTACAATGTGATTTTTAAAATTTCAGCTTTTATTAAATCGGGGGATACATGTGTAGGACTGTTACATGGGTATATTGGGCCCACATAGTGAGCATGGCACCCACAGGTAGTCTTTCAACACATGTCCATCTCTCTTCCTACTCTCCTAGGAATCCACAGTGCCTATTCGTTTAGCTTCCGCTTCTGAGTGAGAACACGTGGTATTTGGTTTTCTGTTCCAGAGTTAATCTGCTTTAGATTATGGCTTGCAGCCATATGTTGCTGCTGAGAACATGATTTAATTTTTTTATAGCTTCATAGTATTCCATGGTGTAAATGTATATTTTCTTAATACAATCCAGCATTGATGGGCACCTAGATTGATTTCACTTCTCTGCAACTGTGAGTACTCCAGTGATGAGTATATGAGTGCATGTGTCTTATTGGTATAATTTATTTTCATTTTGGTATATACCCAATTATGGAATTGCTGGGTCAAATGGTAACTCTGTTTTAAGTTCTTTGAGAAATCTCCAAACTGCTTTCCACAGTGGCTGAACTAATTTACATTCCCACCAACAGCGTATGGGTTTTTTTAATCTGCAGCCTTGCTAGCATGTGTTATAGTATTTCATTGTGGTTTTAATGTGCATTTCTCTGGGGATTTGTGATGAGTATTTCTTGATATGTTCATTGGTCACTTGTACGTCTTTTGAAAAGTGTCTGTTCATGTCTTTTGCTCACTTTTGTATGGCACTATTCATTCTCTAGTTACTGACTTAAGTTTCTTATAGATTCAGGGTATTAGACCTTTGTTGGATGCATGGTTTGTGAATATTTTTTCCCATTGTGTAAGTTGTTTGTTTACTCTGTTGGTGTTTTTTCTTTTTTCCACTTTGCAGAAAATCTTTAGTTTAATCAGGTCCCATTTGTTAACTTGTGGTTTTGTTGCAATTGCTTCTGGGGGCTTGGTCTTAAATTCCTTGCCAAAGTCGATGTTGAGTAGGATAATTTCTAGGTTTTCTTTCAGGATTTTTTATTTTGCAATCTTACGTTTAAATCTTTAATCCAAATAACAGAACAGAATAGAAAACTTGGAAATAAGGCCATACACCTACAACCATCTGATCTTTAAGAAGGCTGACAAAAACAAGCAATGAAGAAAGGACTTTCTATTCAATAAATGGTGTTGGCATAACTGCCTGGCAATATGCAGAATACAACTAGATCCTTACCTTTCACCATATACAAAAATTTAACTCAAAGTAGATTAAAAATTCAAATTATATTTTAAACATATTTTTAAAACTGTGAACACAGTCAAGTGTTTGATGCCAAATGTGAACACTTGTAGACCCCAGTGGTTTACATAAGCCACAGGTTCATATACTCATGCCCAACTCAGAATAAATGTTCTCCTGCCAAAACCATGAATGTATTTGAACACGAGAGACCAGCCATGAATCAGAAAACATCTGAAGACACTCTATCCAGCTTGGCATTTTATGTTTACAATGATGGACCATATATGTGCGTGGACTGTTATAAATTTTACTGAGAATGTTTGCTAGCCAGAATTAATGGAATTTTTTTTTAGCTCCAGTACCAAAGCAGATCAAAACACATTTTAATAAATGTAATATCTGTAGAACTTTTATAAGCCTGATACTAGTTTTAATTCAACTTTGGTTGAATTTTGTTTAATTATAGAAATTAAATTGTTAATTATAGAACTGGTATCAACAGGCTAAACTGTTATCAAACCTATGGATATATTCACAATTTAGTAGCTATAAAATTGTCCCAAAACTTCAGGCATATGACTTCTTCTTGGGGGATACAAAACACTTTTACTCAAATATCTACACTGTTAGAGCTACCGTTTGTTGTTCTGAATCTCCTGAGGTTTCCATTTCAAGAGTTGCAACAGAAACTTTAAAAAATAAATTGGGAGTTTCTTCAAAATATCTAAATGTTCCAAAAATCTGTATTCCCAATAAACTCAGGGCAGTGGGATAAAGAAAAATACACCCATTTGAATCTGAATACCTTAGCTTTTCTCAATAAATTAGACATCCTTTTTTCTTCCCTATCATTTCATGGTTAATGTGTTCATATGTTTCATCACATTAATAAAGATATAAAATTCTCTGACCCATTAGGAGCCTGATAAATAAGTTTGGGGTATATTTATTTCCCAAAATAATTGACAGTAAACCTCTCTGACTACATTAAATACAATAAACGTATATTTTCTGCTTCAAGTTATTAAAGTATCCCTCAAACAAGAACTGATAAGTCATAGTTCTGAGAAATATTTGATCTTGCTTACTTTCTTTATCTAATTATGTGAGAAAACAGCTATTAACATTCCCAGGAGAAAGTTCATGGAGAGGAGATTAATGGAAGCTGGTGTCACCAATCTCCTTGTCTTCTCAGCAAAATTGTAGATGCCAGTTCTACTTTTAATTGTAGTGGCTTATCTGTAGCCTGTGAACCAAGTTTTTCCAAGGTATTTATATATCAGCAGGGGGAAAGAGCAAGGCCCAGTAGCTATTATCTCAGAATCAAATAACACATTGACTGAGATATAGAGTAGACCTTTTTAATCTTTTTCTGTTCTCAGTGGGGTGTGGTGTCTCATGACTGAAATCCTAGCACTTTGAGAGGCCAAGGTGGGCGGATCGCTTGAGGTCAGGAATTTGAGACCAGCGTGGGAAACATGACAAAACACTGTCTCTACAAAAAATTAGCTGGGAGTGAGTGCTGGCCTGCACCTGTAGTCTCAGCTACTTGGGGGGCTGAGGAAGGAGGATCGCTTGAGCCCAGGAGGTCGAGGCTGCAGTAAACCAAAATCGCTCCACTGCACCCCAGCCTGAGTGATGAAATGAGTCTCTGTTAAAAAAAAAAAAGAGGAGAGGCTGGGCATGGTGGCTTATGCCTGTAATCCCAGCACTTTAGGAGGCCGAGGTGGGTGAATCATCTGAGGTCTGGAGTTCAAGACCAGCTGACCAATATGGTGAAACTCCATCTCTACTAAAAATACAAAAAATTAACCGGCCATGGTGGTGCATGCCTGTAACCCCAGTTACTTGGGAGGCTGAGGTAAGAGATTCACTTGAACCCGGGAGGTGGAGATTGAGCGAGCCAAGATCCTGCCATTGCACTCCAGCCTGGGCAAAAAGAGTAAAACTCCATCTCAGAAAAAAAAAAAAAGAGCGTGGATGCTTTACAGTAGCACGAGGGAAAGGAGAAATTAAGGGTTGCTTTTCAACCCCGCAGTTCATGAGCAGGATATCCCCTGTCCAACTGCAGCAAGGCCTCCTCAAGGAGAAGTTGCAAGGGCACATATCTGTCACTGAGCATAAGAAACTTAGAAAAATATTTCCCCTAAGCCACAAGCCAAGGCTGCCCTGTGTAATTTATGGCCTGTTTGATTCCAGTTACCTCAGTTAAGCTTGTTAAATAACAGTTTAGTTCTCAGAGGATTCATTAGTGAACGGTGACTACAGAACTTTCACAACTTTTATAAAAAATGACTCAGATATGAATATGTAAATAGTATCCAGGCACAATAGATTAATGCAGCTCAAAAGCCAGGATGGGGCCTTTAGTAAAATTCCATTAGATAATACTGTCAGTGATAAATTTGAAGATAGACTTTTTACCTTTTTGGGCTCCCTTTTTTGTTTACCCTCTTTAGCTTAATAATCAGTCTAGCACAATTATGCCAAGATGAGTATACATTAATGAGGCAAACCCTCCAATATTCCTGTGTTCTCTCTTGCCAAAGAGAAGCATTTACCATTTCAGAAGTATCTGACTTAATAGTGCAATCTACAACAGATAATTTCTGATCTTCTGATTTAAGATGGCTGACAGGTCATCTGTGGCAATCTTTCTTTACCACAAATTCTTAGAAAGAATCACTCACTCTGAAATACAAGGTGTATCCTCACTGAACTAGAAGTCAGGAAAAATCATTAAAACATGAAATATAGATAGGATTGGATTGAAGAAGAAAACCACAGCCAAATGGCATACAGGATAAGGGAGCTACAAAAGGTGAGGCAAACCTGACCAGGCACACCCTCCCAGGAGAGAGCAGTTGCCTAGAGGATAATGGGACCCTGGATTAAATAATAATCACAAGATTATTAACTAGAAAAAGATATCTACAAAATAGAAAAATTGGCAAAAGACATGTTGTAGTTCACAAAAAATGTTAATAGCTTTATATACATAAAATATGCTCAGGCTTAGTCATGATATAACTGTCTAATTCATATTTTGACATCTTAAAGCTGAGGAAATGGGAGGCAATTATATTCTAAGGCTGAAGCCCACATAATCGGATTTACTGGCTTTATGAAATAATTCTTAAAGAGCTCTCTCTTACTCTCTTTGCCAGGTAAGTGTACAACCTTAAGTCTCCAGCCTACAACTTGAGAGCCCTCACCAAAGCCCAATTATGCCAGACTCTGGTCTCCAGCCTGAGGTGAAATAGAAGTGATATCCCATTGTATTTGTTGAATTCTGTTGGTCAGAAGTAAGTCATTAGTCTCACAGTGCTCTGAGTTTTTGTGGATGCTGCACACCACATGATATGCAGCACAAGGGTCTGATTTTACATATAATGGAAAGTCACTGGAATGTGTAATTAGTAGGAAGATGGCAATATTTGGATTTTACCCTCTTACTAATTCAGAATGAAAAATGAGGCCCAGAGAAGTGACTTTCCAAAACCACACTGCTGGTCCCAGGTCTGAGTTGTATTCCATGCTGCCTCCCATCCATTCTTGTAATTCATCTCTAAATTTGTGCATTGTCTTCATGTGACACTATGCCATGAGTTTTGTCTCATTTGTACCTGATGCATTTTCTAGAAGATGCTGATATAATCCCCATTGCGTAGGTTAGGAGGCTGGGTAGGCACCAAAATACACAATGACTTCTAGGTTCACAGAACTGGTTAGAAAAAAGTAGTTCTGATCCAGCTATGTCACCACAAACCTGGGGCCCTGACTGCGTCCAGTCTCTGTAGGGGACTGAGAGGCTGTGCTTGCATAACTGTGTACAGGCAAGGAGTTGACATGGTGGGGAGCATGAGAAATCAGTATCCCAGTAGGGCCTTTGGGTAGGTCTTATGGAAGGAAGGGGTCTTGGGGTTAGAACCCTGAAGTGACCTTACTTTCTCAGTGACAGACCCCAGGATAACTTAGAACCCTGGTAACCAGGCACCTACATTCTAGAGACAGCCCCAGTAGTCAACTCACTCAGTAGGAAATGCTCAAGAGAGCAAGATGTTCTTTTGCTCTATCCTGACTTTCCAAGGCTCTTGATTTAGTAAGGCCTGACGTGAGAACACTTTTCAACAATGCAGGAATTGGCTCAACTGTCACCACTGATGTCTCTGGCCATTTGGCAGAGGGCATGCAAAGGTAACAAAGGGCATCTCAGGAGAGGCCCATGCAGGTGAGGCCTCACCTGTGATCCTATTAAGTAAGACTCACATGTCTTTCTGACACCATGTGTTGGGGAAAGCAAGTGCTGAGGAGGCTATTTCTGGACAGGAGCAGATCATCAAGTGTTGGAAGCCTTAGTGAGTTGGTCAGGTTCATACCCCAGGGCATGACAGGACGGGGAGGTGAGTGTTGAAAAACAATTTTGTCTTCTTGGATGTGAACCCCAAGACTTCAAACCGTGATCTGGTTTCCTCCCTGGCTGAAGGTCTATGGGAATTCTCTTTTATGCCTGATATAGGGATAATTACTTTTGTTTTTTATATAGGGTCTCACTTTTGTCTTGCAGGCTGACGTGCAGCTGTGTAATCATGGCTTAATGAAGCCTCAACCTTTGGAGAACTTTTACTGGAAGTGTTCCCCTGTGATGACAACCAGGTAACCACTGATGCCCCCTGGTCTAGCTGCAAGGCACTCTCTTTGCAGAGCTCCATGCAGGAGATCAATAAAAAGCTGTTTGATGGGTCCAACTACTCCATCTCTTTGGATGAAGGGCAGGTATACCATGCCACCAACCATATCTAGCTCTGGGCTTGGGTGGGAGTGGGCACAGAGAGGTCTTTGCAGACAGGGATCAGAAGAGACAAAAGTGGGCCCAGGACCAAGACCCGAATATGTAGGCACCCTGGGATCTGTCCTAGGGCTTTCCCACTAGGGTAACTCACCGTTCTTTCCCAAAGGAGTCTGGCTTTCATGAATCCTAAATGGCAAATTGTTAGGCACAAATCCCTGTTCACATACTTATAGGAATATCAGAGAAGACATTTTTCTGTTGCTTTTACTTCACACTAGGCCATGAGTATCTTTGCATGTTGCTGTTTTTATTAAATAACTGCACCCAGGTATCTCTTATAGCAGGCAGCTCCACTGCCCTGCCAGACCTTCTCTATACCTTACACACCAGTACTTTTATGAGGGAAGTGTTTACAAAAGGGGAGCTGGGGGTTAACCCAAAAAGGTTAAGGTATCCTATGCATTTCTCTGCAATGTGTCATCTCAGAGAACTCATGCCTACAGTTCCATCAGGGCAGGAGCTCTGCCCTTACATGTCTTGATATCATGTCTTTATGTTATTTCATAATCAAAGCTGTTTCCCACAGTGGCTCAGCCTTTCAATGCTGGTGGAACCTGGCATGAAGAAATTTCATTTCCACTTCAGTCGTGCTGCAGGAAACATTTTGTATGTGTCCTAACAGACTGTAACGGTTTGCTATGCTGTCATAACACAGCATCACAAACTCAAGGCTTTAATAACAGATTTTTTTTCTCACAATTCTGGAGGCTAGGAGTCTGACGTCAAGCTTTGGCTGGGGTGTTTTTTTCTGAGGCCATTTTCCTTGACTTGTAGATGGCTGTCTTCCATTGCTGTGTTCACAGGATCTTCTGTTTCTGTACCTTTACCATCACTTCTTACAAAGACCCCAGTCATATTGGATTAGGGCTCACTCCAATAAACTCACTTAACCTTAATTACCTCTATAAAAATCATATGTCCAAATATACTCCCATTCTGAGTCACTGGCTATTAAAACATGTGAACACATACATTTTTGGGAGAAAATGCAATTCAGCCCATAATATATGGTAATCACCTGCAGAAAGGGGTAACCTGGTGAAAGAATATGCATGGGTAAAACTTTAATAGGTATAGCCAGATTACTTTCCAAAAGGGCTGTGGCAAGTATAATGTCCCCAGCCGTCTCTCAATATCGCTGGTTCCCTACATCCAGCCTCCCTTGAATGTTAAGACTTAATTTTTTGCCAATCTGGTGTCTGTGTGACAAAGAAATTCATGTAATTCCTTGCATTTCCAGTTGTTTAACAGATAAGTTTGAGTCACCTTTCAGTTATTTAATATTTATTTGGGAGTTTCTCTTCCCTTCGTCATCTGCTTCCATTATTGGCCCTGCAGTTTCCCAGCCTTTTTCTCTTTGCCAGGTGAGAAACTGCTGTAGCTGTTTCTTAAGACTCCCCTTAAAGAAAACAAGTATATGCGTTAGGTCAAAAGGGTTATTGTAAATCGTCTTGCTCTATGTATTCTTTCCAAACAAAGAAAAAAATAAAACTTCTCCAAGGCTCTTTTCCTCCACATGACAGCAAACAGAACTTCGGGTAGCTTACAAGAAAATTCATACCACTCTCACTCTGCACGTTCTGAGTTCTGAACCACATGCTTTGAGTAGCCATTTGATGTGCAAAAGCCTGTGTTTTCTCATCTCTACAATGAGTATGTTTTTCAGGATTCACAGTAGTCTCTTAATACAGGCTATTAATACAGATGTGTGCTGTTGCTCCACAGCTGACAAATACCATAAAAATGTCTTGAAAGTATTAATGTTTGAATCAATCCCCAACCTCCACATCCAGTTTTACTTTGGAAGCCTAGAACCTTCTCCATAAATACTCATGCCCTCCACATGCACTGACGTACTGGAATTTCCTGAATTTCAATCCCCAAAACACCTGAGGCTCATGCTGCTATTACTGACTGTAGTTCCCTCCTTGTCCCCTGCGTGGTATAAAAATGAGTCTAAGCTGAATCTAGAGTAAATCTGCATGATGTGGACCACCAGGCTAGGGAGAAGGGAGATGTTGGTGGAGTTCCTGACTTCAGCTTTGCAGGCTGGGACCATCTTTTCCTTCACCATTTTCCTAGGCTCCTAACCAGGACTTCACCACAGCACCATAGTTCCTGGAGTAGCTGTTCAGAAGCTCAATGTTTGTCCCTTCCAAGACACACTGATGACTGCCACCTATTGGCTGTGTCTTGGAGATGTCCCCAATGTTCCTGCAGCTCTCTGAGCTGAACTTTTCTTTTCTGAAAATGGGCGAAAAGAAGATAAACCTCATAGGGTTCTTGTAGGGACTAATGTCTTGAGACATGGAAAGCAGGTCAACCATGCCTGGCTCCATAAAAAGGCTTCTGCACATGCTGTGGCTGTTCATATTTATTTTTTTCTGAATTTTACTGAAACTCTCTGTAACATGCCCCAACGACTCATGTCCCTTATTGTTGGGAAAACCATATCAAAAGCAAGTCCATTTTTGCATTTGTAAATGCAGTTTGACATTTCTTTTGCCTAGTCTTTGTTCTTGACATAGGCAAAACAGGGGTCCCCTGCTGGTAAAAAAAAAAAAAAAAAAAAAAAAGTCCCACGTTTAATAAAATATCTGAGACGGTTCTGGTTGAGATTTATTTAGTCAACATACACACATTAAGCATCTAATCTGAACAGTCACATTTCCAGACACTTGGCATTATTCAATGAACAAAGCAGTTGAGAGTTTCTGGGCCTCAATTTCATTTGGGGAGTCAGAAACTCACAGTAGACATTATCAGCAGTAGACATTATATGTCATGAGAATGTAACATATGATGCCTTCGTGTCCTCCTCTAGGTATAGATGCATCCTCCTAGATCCTGACAAAGATGAAGGATCTCAGAACCAATTATAACTTTTAAGTGAATGCAGAAAAGAATTTTAGAAAATTCAACATTATGACAAAATCTCAAAAGAAATTACATATAGAACATACATACCTCAAGCCAATAAAGGCCATATATGACAAATGGATATCTGACATCATGATAAACCTTCAAAAGTTGTAAGCCTTTTTTTAAAGAGGCAAAGACAGTAGATCGATAGTAAGGCAAAGATACCTAATTTCATCACTCTTATTTAACATGCTACTGAATTTCCAAGCCAGAGCAATTAGAGAACAAAACCAAAGTCAGCCAAATTGGAAAGAAAGAAAATAATTATCCCTGTTTGCAGATATCATAGTCTTATGAATAGAAAACTTTAAAAACACTTAGAATAAATTCACTAAAGTTGCAGGATACAAAATCAAGATATAAGAGTGAGTAGCATTTCTATATACTAACAACAAACTATCTGAAAAAGAAATAAAGAAAACAATTGACACCTGTAATAGTTACAAAAAGTTTACTTCCCAATAAAATTATTCAAAAATGTTAAAGATCTCTATATTAAAAGCTAAAGAAAATTGAGGTATAAAATTAAACACAAATAAATGAAAAGTTATCCCTTATTAATAATTGGCCAAATTAATATTGCTAAAAAGTCTATGTTACACAAAATGATGTATATATTTAACATAATGTCTATAAAATATCAATAGAATTTTTCACAAAAACAAAAAAACCTAAAATTCATATAGTAGAGCAAAAGATTCTGAAAGCTGGAAGCATTGTACTACTTGACAGTTGAATATACTGAAAGCTACAGTAACTAAAACAGTCCAATACTGGCATTAAAAACAGATAAATAGACCAATGGAGCAGAACACAGAAAGATGAATACCTCACAGTCTCACTCATGTGGAATCTAAACAAGTTGATCTCATTAGAGACTAGAAAGAAGGTTAAGAGATGCTGAAGTTTTAGGAGAAAGGGGCTTAGAGAATTATCTGTTAAATGATAAACAATGCCTGTTAAGCTAGGAGGAATTAGTTCAAGAGACCTATTGTAGTGCAGAGTGACTACAGTTATTGAGAATATATTGTATTTTTTTTTAAAGTGCCAAGACAGTGTTGAGCATTCTCACAATAAAAATAACCATTGAGGTAAAGCATTTTTAATTAGCTAGAATCAAGCATTTCAAACATCATGTGTTATATGTATATATATAATTATGTGTATATATGTAATTATAATTACATATATACATATTTAATTTTATATATACATATATCATTATGTATATATGTATATATATAATTTTGCCAATTTAAAAATAATTTTTAAACACATCATGGAGCGAAAACAATGCTCCAAATACCAAGTCTGCATCTTTTTAAACTTAGCTGAACTATATAGAAAATACAGTTTTTATGATTTTTAAAAATGTCCACTTATTAGCCATAAGCATAGAAACTCTAATATTCACCAGCATGTTCTAGAACCAGCACAGAACATGCGAGTCACCAATGAACTCTATGGCTTTCACTTTAAGTTTGGGACACCTGGAGTTTCTGGTGCTGATGCTAATCATATGGATGACATTAAAGAAGTAGGTGGTGCTAACAGTCCCATCTCTGGCCATGGTGTGAACACAGAAATCAGGTTTGCATTCAAAATCACCAAGGAAATACTTCAATCCAAAAGCTCTCTAGATCTCTGAGTTTTTTAATACAGAAAATGACTAAGGAATTGGCGAGTTATGTGATTATTTATATAAACTCTGCAATGTAAGCTGCACCCATTTAAATAAAACATACTGTGATATGAGTAAGAAACTTCCCAAGATTCCAGTATCAATGGGGAAGAAAAGATTATTCCAAATTTTAAATCCACAGAAGCATTTAAAAATTTAAATTAAATTCAAAAAATTAAATGTAAATGTAAACATAAATGTAAATGTTTATTATTGTCTAATATATTACATAAACACTAAAAACTAAAAAATTCTACATGTACACATAAAGTGTGCTATATGTAATTTATAAAAAACTAAATTTAAACTTTTTTGCTTGCCATTAAGTGTCCTTAAGATTTCTAAGATATATTTTTGCTTAAGGGGTTTCCAAATTCTGAAGTTTCTTTATATAGTGATTATGATATATAGCCTACCATTATTAATGCTTTACCTATTCTAACTGATTTCATGTTTACCACATTTTGTGGTAGAATCTAATAACATTTCTTTCATACAAACATTACTAACTCACTAATTTAATCCTATAAACTGTGTAGAGTACATCCCAATTATGCCAATTAAATTATTCAAATGGTGCATTTATAACTTAAAAATGTCCTCAAACTCTCCAGTTAAATCCAATTTTTCACTATATTAAAAATTTCAAATTTCTTATCACATCCTACAAAATACTGTATGAAATTACATGGGCTGCAGAGAACAGTGAGAAATCTGTAGCCATAATAAGCAAAGAAGGGAAAGGGCTATGACTGACACATAGATGGGGGTGAAAATAAAATAATAGTGAAGTACTGGAGATAACTATGAAATAAACACAATTCCTCTTAATTTCAGAGGCAGTTGTACACCCTGGGTATACATGTGTTTTCTTTACATGCAGAGTTAATGCCATCTCTTCATGCTGAATATTTCTAATCTCTTACTTGTAGCCAAAAAGTGACTTCAACAAGAGTATTTGCTGCTAATTATAGAGCATCTATTATACCCCCAGGAAACCTAGCACGTTCCTGTGTTTGTTCACCTCATTTATATGTCAAAACAGCTTTGTGAATTATGAAGCCTTCCCAGTGCACATCTAAACAAATTGGCTCGAAAAAGTAAATAAATTCAATTATGTAAAATATTAAAATGGAAACAAAAACCAAGTAAAAATTGTCTGAAATAAGGTTCTCCAATTGAAATACAAAAATAGAATGTACTCATTAAATAAACTGTAGCAACACACACATTGTAGAATTACATCTTAAAATTATCTTGTGAACATTAATAAATTTTATGAAGGTTATTCTTGGAATTTCTCAGGAATATAGAGAAAATTTCATGAACTTTGGAATGAGAAAACTATATATTAGGTTTAGGATGGTCAACAGACAAGAAAAAAACAGGATCTGCATGAGAAGATTCTGAGCCAGGAGCCATAAGATTTTTCAGAAGTAAATTCAATACAAAGCAGAGAATAAATATTTACTTTCAGAATCTTTGAGATTCCTAGTTTGCTAGTAAATTACCAATACTTTTTAAATTACGTTTTGTTCCAATATTTTTGTTTTACTCTCAAAAAAGTACACACCTATACTCAAACACAATTACATGCTCCATAATTCTCTTAAAGTTAACACTTATGTTTAGAGTGATAGACTTATAAAATTAACTCCACGTTAATCAAAACTAAATGTATGTATGTGTTTTTACAGGCCAGAGAAGTCACAGGCTCAAAGAAAAATGTAGTATGACATTTTGTAAATAGTCATTCAGGATTCAAAATACATGGCTTTTCATTATACTCCTTTATAATTATCATCATAGTGGGCAATTATAATGGTTATACTGAAGATTATATAAGAGTATCACTGTCCAATATTTACAAAAGAAAAAAATTAAAATATAACCTATGGTATGTTAATCCATTTTGTGCTGCTAGAAGGGGATACTTAACATTGGCAAATTAAAAAGAGGTTTATTAGCCTCAGTTCTGTTGGCTATACAAACACGACATCAGCATCTGCTTAACTTCTGATGAGGCCACAGGGAGCTTTTACTCATGATAAAAGGCAAAGGAGTATCATGGCAAAAGACAAAGCAAGAGGAATATCAGCTTTTTTTTTTTTTTTTCTTTTTTTAACAACCAGCTTTCACACGAACTGACAGAGGACTCACTAACTGCAGTGGAAAGAACATCAATCTATTCTGAGGAATCTACACCCATGACCTAAACACCTTCCACTAGACCCCGCCTTCACCATGGGGAAACATATTTCAACATGAGGTAAGGTACAAAAAACCCAAAGCATATCATATTAAAAAAATTTCCCAAGTTGTTTGAAATTAAAAGCCACTGGGAAAAGAGACTACTAGAGGTATCCTTTCACTGTTACCCAGTAGTGTATTGTTACTATCTGTTACCTACAACTTTGGGTAAAGTGGTATAGGTTAATTATTGTGGCAAGATGTACTTCATTCAATGTAAAATATTCTTAACACATTAAAAATCATTTTGTTTTATTAAAAGAAATTGCATTCTAAAAATAACATTTCAAAAGCTACTATATTTTATTACCTTAATGTGCAAGTCATAAAACAATTTACTACTAAAATTCAAAATATTTCTCTATTACTATAATGCAAAATACTTCTCTGAATACCTAATGTGTTACTTAAAACACTGTTATACATCAACAAAAAGCATTTCTACTTATATTTTCCTTATAAATGTTACATTTCAGCACCCTTAATCACTCATGAAAAAGCATATAAATGATGGTCATCTAATATAGAAGAACTTCTCATAGCTCTTACGCAGCAACAAATGACCACATGCTTTAACGTAAACAATAAATATAACAAAATCAAGTTATTTGAGATTTGAATTACGTCAATATTAAAATATATAATAAAAATAAAAAACTTTTAATACGAAAAAGTATAACATGAATGTAACTACTTCAAAAAGACATCATCTCTTGATTCATTTAAATTTTTTTTTTTTTACCATTCTGTTACAGTTTATTATTAACTTATTTTCATTACATGTAAGCCAAAAATAGTTTCAAATATTTAGAGAAAATTTATTCCTAATTAATTTATATTTTTGACTTTAGAAAAAATTGCAGACAGAATCATATCCTGAAGAAATACAAGCTGTGACCTATTTACATCTTGATCAATGTTACAAGCCAGGGCCAAAAGATATTTTAATTCTGGGCTATTGCAGAAGAGTTTCTGGTTATATCAGGAAGTTAAATCATTTGAACAATTATTATTAGAGTTTTAACTAAGTCCAGTGAACTGTAAATAGGCAAGTTGGATCTCGTTTAGGCAGAAAATTGGGCTGTAGATGTAGGGTGTGTGGTGATGCTTATTGAATCAAACAGACCCTGTAATCTGCAAAAAAAGAAAAAAGTAACTTGGTGTCATAATCTGTACTCTTGATTTTCTTGGTGAGTCTTGGACCATGTATTCTTATCTTTATTTATTTTTGTCTTTGTTTAAGAGCAACTAAAAAAGTCATTGAAAGGTGGAGTATATGGTATTATCTATCACTCATTACTCCTAGGCCATGTGACTCAATTCTTCCTATCTTACTTCCTTTCTAAGTTCTATAGATTATTTTTGTGTGCATTTTAGGCATTTTTATCCTTTGAAAAATTTTAAATTATTGGATTGTTTCAAATATCTTTCATACATATTCTAAAAATAACAAAGACTTTGCATTCACATTACATTGCTTTCATGTTATCAGTGTGTAGCTATTACTAACCTCTTGGCATGCTGTTCATACTCATACACTCAACGTCTCCCTCAGTTTTGGCTATTCCCTCTTTCTTAACTCTCATTTTACTGCAGATTCTACTGATACCTTCTTTCAATGCCCCCTCAAATTGAGAAATAACTAACTCCTTTTTCTGGAATATTTATAATTGACTTATACAATTGTTTTCTAACTGGTTTCTTGCTCCTCTGATTAGCTTCACACACTCCTGGAGTTGTTTTCCAAAACACAAATATGAATATAACTTTCTATAGCTTTTAAATTTCTAATTTACCTTTCTTGCCAAAAGATAAAATCCACACTTCTCAATCTGTTACTTAGAGTTTTCAAGCACATAGCTTCCTGCAAGCAACTCTCTCCAGTTCATTCTCACCATGTTTTAACAATACACTTAAAAAAAGTTAGTATCAGACTTCTGCTCCTTTGCTCAAGCATTTCATTCTGTCTGGAAATTTCTTACCTTACATATCTCTACATCAACTTCACTATGCTATACCATATTTTTGTTGCACTAGCATACATGAACAATCATGTCCAAGTTAAGTCCCACGTAAGTAATAATTTCTACAGCCACATACTAGGATCTTAGCACTCCACTAAGATTGTCATCATCCAACCATCTCCCAGAATAGGAAGTAGTACACAAGGATGTACACATAATTAGTAAAAAATATAAAACATCTTCCTAAAACACAAATTTGAATCCATAGTAAGTAAATTATAACCTTTTATATTAAAGTTATCAATGTAGTAGAATAACTATTGCTGTTGTTTGATCTCTTAGGCATTTTATCCTTCATTGAAGAGACTTATTCCTCTTGACACCATATGATTCTGAGAGGGCTTCCATATTACATCCTGTCTCTGCCTCCTTAGCTCTAGTTGATTGATCTAGTGCAAATCTGACCCAAGTTAGATGAATCAAAGCCTTTGCCTGTGATTTTTTCACCCAGACTCTGACATGAAAAACTACCTTCTTTTATTTATTTATTTATTTATTATTATACTTTAAGTTCTGCAGGTTTGTTACATATGTATACTTGTGCCATGTTGGTGTGCTGCACCCATCAACTCGTCAGCACCCATCAACTCGTCATTTATATCAGGTATAACTCCCAATGCAATCCCTCCCCCCTCCCCCCGATTCATTTAAATTTACATACAACTAAATTATCTATTTAAACTTTGAATTATTCTTGACAATCAACACTGCTTTAAAGTAACATCTGAAACTGTTAGTGCCTTAGTACTTTCTATAGTAAATTATGTAATGTTTTATTTAGACTTAATTTTGGACATTTATTTGTATTCACTGTATCTGTAAAATATATTCTACTATACTATAAACTCTGGTGTTTTCTAAGGTATATATCTTGAAAAAATGTTTTTCCACATTTGTAGGAGGTTTCTTCCCCCATAAAATCCTCTAAAGTTGAATAAAGTCTGAATAATTGTTTAAGGGGTTTCCTCTGGTACAGATTCTATTTACAGGATGATCTTTGAAATAAACAAAGGTATTGTAATATTCTATATTTATACATTTCATTCAGTATAGTGTTGTGCACCATGAAGCTTACATTTTGTGAAACATCCTTAAACAGTCATGATGCTCATACCACTTTTATTCAGTATGAAATTACTGAAGCCATGTATAATGTAAGCAGTTTTTAAAGATTGCCACATTTTTCGCATTTGTCAGGTTCCTCTCCAGTATAAGTTCTCTTATACTTACTATGGATTGAGGATTGGTAAAACCCTTTTCCACATTCTGTACATGTGTAGGGTTTCTCTCCAGTATGAATTCTTTTATGACGAGTAAGGCTTGAGAACTGGTTAAAGGCTTTGCCACATTCTTCACATTTGTAGGGTTTCTCTTCAGTATGAATTCTCTTATGCTTACTAAGGATTGAGGACTGGTAAAAAGCTTTGCCACATTCTTTACATTTGTAGGGTTTCTCTCCAGTATGAATTCTCTTATGGCTAGTTAGGTGTGAGCACTGTTTAAATACTTTGCCACATTCTTCACATTTGTAGGGTTTCATTCCAGTATGAATTCTCTTATGTTGAGTAAGGCTTGAGAACTTGTTAAATGCTTTGCCACATTCTTTGCATTTGTAGGGTTTCTCTCCAGTATGAATTCTTTTATGCTGAGTGAGGTTTGAGAATTGAGTAAAGGTTCTGCCACACTCTTCACATTTGTAGGGTTTCTCTCCAGTATGAATTCTCTTATGGCTACTTAGATGTGAACACCGATTAAAAGTTTTGCCACATTCTTCGCATTGGTAGGGTTTTTCTCCAGTATGAATTCTTTTATGACGAGTAAGGCTTGCAAACTGTGTAAAGGTTTTGCCACATTCTTCACATTTGTAGGGTTTCTCTCCAGTATGAATTCTCCTATGTCTAGTTAGGTGTGAGCACTCATTGAAAAGGTTGCCACATTCTTCACACTTGTAGGGTTTCTCTCCAGTATGAATTTTCTTATGTTGAGTAAGGTTTGAGAACTTGTTAAAGGCTTTGCAACATTCTTGGCATTTGTAGGGTTTCTCTCCAGTATGAATTCTCTTATGTTGCATAAGGTTTGAGAACTGGGTAAAGGCTTTGCCACATTCTTCACATGTGTATGGTTTCTCTCCACTATGAATTTTCTTATGGCTAGTTAGCTGTGACCACCAATTAAAAACTTTGCCACATTCATCACATTTGTAGGGTTTCTCTCCACTATGAATTTTCTTATGGTTAGTTAGTTGTGACCACCAATTAAAAACTTTGCCACATTCATCACATTTGTAGGGTTTTCCTCCAGTATGAATTCTTTTATGTTTGGTTAGGTTTGAACATCGATTGAAAACTTTGCCACATTCTTCACATTTGTATGGTTTCTCTCCAGTATGAATTCTCTTATGTTCAGTAAGGATTGACCTCTGGCTAAAATTTTTGCCACATTCAATACATTGAAAGATTTTGCTTTCAGTTGATGAACACTGAGTAAGTCTATTATAACATTCTTTCTGCCCCTTATCCTCATTCACAGTTCTCCAGTCTTTCACTAAGTGCAAATTGTCAAGGCTCCAGCTTCTATGTCTTGTCAGTGTCACTTTTTGGCATAAATCTTTCATATCCTGCTCTGGCAAAAGGTCTTGAATGGCATAAGATAAAATAGCTGAAAGAAATAAAAATAAAAAGTTATTCTGCTTACTAATCTCCAGTAAATACACTTTACAAATCTAATAAATATTATATCAAAGACATTAACAAGATGGCATAATAAAATACCACAGGCCCTGATTCCTTTTTGAACATATAAACTTAACAAAAATATATTGACCAAAATGCCTTTCTGAAAACTATAAAATCTAGTTAAGTTTGCAACACCCTAGGTGAGCACAATTGCAAAATCCACATAGAATAGAAAGTAAAGTTTGTTACATTTATACATAAAACCTTTCCTCCACCCCAATATAGCATGGTGTCTTTAAGAGTAAACTTCAAACTCCTGGCTTCTCCCTCAAAGCAAAAAAACAGAAAAACAAAACATTGCACATGTGCCCATACTTCTGGCTTTTAGGGGCTTTCCAAAGACTGGTTTCTGTCTCCCATAACAAAGACTGTTGAAAGAAATGGTGGTATGCTTTGAATGACAGCTTTGGTCTGCTAAGAAAAAGGTAAATAATTGTTACTGCAGCAGAGAGATCATAGTGCCACAGACAGACACCAGGTGTAGCACATGATTACAGGTTTTTACAAAGAAACATGAACAAATCTCTTTGGCTGAACAGTAAACACACAATTCTAGAGAAGACAAATCATAAGAAGAGGTTTGAGAGGCTACAAGGATCTCCAGCCTGGCAAATAGCTAGTAGCCTTCTCCAGGACAAAGCCACTTATAAAGAGTGTGACAGGTGGCATTTTATTAATGCCCAAATATGAACCAAAGATTACAACATATGCAAAGTTATCAGGGTAACATGGTCCAATCAAGGAAACAAACTAAATAAAAAATTAATTCTAAGAAAATAAATATGTATAAATTATCTAAATAATTCAGATGACTCAGTAAGTGAAATGGGAACAAAGACAACTAAATAAAATCAGGAAATGGGAGTATCAACAAAATAATAAAATGTATAACAAGAAACAAAGTGTGGGACTAAAGAATACAAGAAAATAACAGAAATGTTTACACAAAAGATGTAAAAAAATCAATAATAAACACAAAAAGACCCATAAGAAGACACATTATAAGCAAGATTTTGAAATCACAGAGAGGAATAAGATGTTGAAAGCAGCAAGAGAAAAGTGATGTGTCATTTATAAGCATTCTCCTATGGGATTACCTGTGAATTTATCAACAGAAACTTTGCAGGGAAAAAGGGAGTTAAGTGATATAGTCAGGGTGTTGAAAGAAAAAACAAAAACTTTCAAGCAAGAATACTATTAACAGTAAAACTGTCCTTCACAATTAAGAGAAGATGAAGACTTTCCAAGATAGCCAAATGCAGAAAAACTAAATCACCAGTAAAACTGTCCCATAGAAAATGTAAAATGGACTCCGGTCCATTGAAAATAAAATGTGTCATTAAACAAAAAATTATATACAAATACATAACTCTCTGGGAAAGATGTATACATACACAAAAATAAAATTCTGTAGTTTTATAATGATGGTGCTGAAAACACTTTTACTTACGCTCTACAATTTGAAAAATGCATGAGAACAATAATAAACATCTGTTGATGTCTATATAATATGAAATATATAATTAGTGACATCAATAATATGAAGTTTAAGGTAAATATAACAAAAAAAATTTCTGTATGCAACTGAAATTAAGCTATTACCAGTTTATTATATGTTGTTGTAACTTTGGGGGTTTTATAATTCTCATGGCAACCACAAAGAAAATACCTATAGAGATACATATAAACACACACAGAAGAAGAGAGTAGAAGCATGTTACTAAGCTCAGAAAACATACTGGAAGACAGAGAGAAAAAGAGGAAAAAATAGCTACAAGAATCCGATAAAACAATAAATGACAATAGTAAGTAATTATGTTTTAGACAGCTATTTAAATATTCATCAACAAAACATCCCAATCAGAAGACTGAATAAAGAGATTTAGAAAAAATTTTAAAAACCACAAACTATGTCTTGTCTCCAAGAGACTAACTTTAGACGACTGGCATAATAGACTAAAAGTGGGAGGAAGAAAAAAGATTCCATGCAAATGGTAACCAAATGACAGTTGGAAAGGTAAAAATTATATTGGGAAAAGTACATTATATGTCAACAACTGTTATATTTCACAAAGTATACTTTAAGCCAAACTTGTCACAAGAGAAAATATGAACATCAAGTAATAATAAAAGTGTTCATTTATTGGAAACATATAATTTATAAGCATGCATGAATACACATAAGATTTACTGAGAACATAGGTTCCCCATTAGGTTTCCCAAATATATATGTTTATTTAAAAATCCCACACAAATTTGAAATGCAAAGAGAAAACTAAATGGAAGTGCAACTATATAGGAAGAATAAAATCAGCAAGTTGTTGGAACAGGAGGTCCTCTTCTTGTATATCTCCCAAAGCAACAAAAACTTATCAACCATCTATGGACATAAGTGCCTTTGTGAGAGAGCCGGGCACCATGGCTCATATTTGTAATTCCAGCTATTTGAGAGGATGAGGCAGAAGGATTACTTCAGGCCAGGTGTTTGAGACCAGCCTGGCTAATAGAGCAAGATCCTGTCACACAAAAAGTACATTTATGATTGCTTTGTGATTCAGGGAGGGAGTTGCAATACCCTGCCAAAAGCACAAGACCAAGGAAAGTCTTTTTCAGAAAGTAAGTTTACCTTCAGATGGCAAACTTGAGGACCGCTAGTCTTGGCTACAGATGAAGAAATGGCCCATTTAACATGATTCCACTTAGAATTCTGAAGTAACACTGTAACTGTCATTAACTCCTCCCAGCCATAGTCAAGAAGAGGTACTGCCCATTCAGAGAGCTAGGGTCAGATGCTCATTCATGGCCATAGATGCAGAACTGCAGACCTTGACATTTACTGTGGTCTCTGAAGCAGGTGAATAACTCAGTTCTAGACCTTTAAGCTACATTCCATGGCCAGTCCTGCCAACCTGGAGACCTGTGACCTGGTAAAAACCTTGCAAGTACTGGGTGGGAGCGACACACATACAAACACTTGGTATTAGGCCAAGTGTCTGCCCTACAGATCAAAGTGCTGAAGGCAACTCAGTTGGCCAAGTAATAAGACAGACTTCATAAGCACACAAGCCCCTGGTAATAAGCCCACTAAAGATAGACCCCATTGTGGACCCTGCAACCACCTTAGGACTCAGGTATATCATCTCTCTACTGTGAACCCAGAAAAGATCTCATCAGCTGGGGACCCAATAGGATAAAATCTTTACCTGTATAAACCAGTTTATAAAAACTGGTAGAGGTGTTTGCTCCTTCAAATGCACAGACACCAATGCAAAGTGATATTGTGCCCATTATCAATGCTTCTATTTTAACATAGTCCTGGAAGTCCTAGACAGAACAATTAGGCAAGAAAATTTTGTAAAAGCCATAAGAACTGAAAAGAAATAAGTAAAAATATTGCTGTTTGTTGATGACATCATCTTATATGTAGAAAGCCTAAGAAATAAACCAAAAATCTGAGTAAATTAGCAGAATATGAAAGGTTATACAAATATGAGTTTTGTTCTAGTATACTAACTACAAACCATTTAATAAAAAAACTCGTTTACAGTAACATCTAAATTTCTTAGCAAAAAAATTTAAGCAACATGAAAAATCTTTACATTGGGAAAGAAACTATTGATAAAAGAAACAAGAAAAAACAAATAAATGTAAAGATACCCAATGTTTATGAATTGGAAGACTAATTATTGTAAAGTGCCATATTATCCAAAGCAATCAAGAGATTCAATAAACTTCCTATCAAAATTACAATGGCATTTTTAAAAATAATAGAATAAAATTTTAAAATTTATATAGCATTACAAGACACTGAACTGAGAAAGCAATCTTGAGAAATAATAACAAAGCCGGGGGCATCATACTTTCTGATTTAAAGCTCTATTTGAAAACTATGGTAATAAGAGTAGGATGGCATAAACACGAAAACTGATACAAAAATGGAACAAAATAGAGAGCTCAGATATAAACCCATGCATATAAGGTCAATGAATCTTTAACAAGGGCGTCAAGAATACACAGTGTACAAAAGATAGTCTCTTCAATAATTGATGCTGGGCAAAAAGAATATCTACATCCAAGTGAAATTAGACCATTTTTTTCTTACACGATACCAAGAAATTAACTCAAAATAAAGACTTAAATGCCAGACAGAAATCCTTAAAAGTCTTAAAAGAAAATATATTTTTAAAACTACTTGATATTGGTTATGGTAATGATTTTTTGGATATGACATCAAAAGTATAGGCAACAAAAGCAAGTATTAACAAGTTGGACTGCATGAAACTAAAAAGCATCTGTACAGCAAGAAAAACAATAAAATAAGAAAATCTGCAGGATGGGAGAAAATATTTGCAATCCATAAATCAAATAAAAGGTAGATATCAACAATATATGAGGAACTCATAGAAATCAAAAGGAACACAATAATAATGATAATATTAATAATAATATTGAAAAACAGGCAAAAGACCCAATAGATATTGTTCCAATGAAGACATACAAATGCCAACAGATATATCAGAGGGCTATTACCAATCATCAGGCAATCACAAATCAAAACCATGATGAAATATCACTTCACACTTAAGATGACTAATACATATATATTAAAAAGTGAGATAACGGTTTGACAATAATGTGAAGAAAGGGGCTAAGAGCAGTGGCTCATGTCTATAATCCCAGCACTTTAGGAGGCTGAGGCGGGCAGATCACCTGAGATCAGGAGTTTGAGACTAGCCTGGCCAACATGGTGAAACCCCGTCTCTTCTAAAAATACAAAATTAGCTGGGTATGGTGGCACATGCCTGTAATCTTGGCTACCTGGGAGGCTGAGGCAGGAGAATTGCTTGAACCCGGGAGGTAGAGGTCATAGTGAGCTGAGATCGTGCTATTGCACTCCAGCCTGGGCAACAAGAGCAAAACTCCATCCCAAACAAAACAAAACAAAACAAAACACACAATGTGAAGAAACAGAAATCCTGTACTGTATACTTTAAAAGTTGTAAATTGGTGAAGTCATTATAAAAATTGGTATGAAGGCTCTTAGAAAAAGATACAAGTATAAAATTCAACAATCCCAGTTCTGTGTATATAACCAAAGGAAATGAAATCAGTATCTCAAAGAAATATCTGCATCCTCATATTTATTATGGTATCATTCACAATTGCCAAGATATGACAATAACCTAAATGTTTTTAGACACTAGATGGATAAATATGGTTTACATACAAAATAAAATATTATTTGGTCATAAAAATAATTTAATTCTGCCATTTAAACAACATGGATGGACTGGAAAGACATTATGCTAAGTAAAATAAGCCAGACACCAAAAGGCAAATACTTCTTACAGAAGCAGAGAGTACAGAGGGAGTTGGCAGGGCCTAGAAGTGAAGAAATTGGGAAGGTATTTTTCAGTTTTTGTTTTTTTGAGACGGAGTCTTGCTCTGTCGCCCAGGCTGGAGTGCAATGGCAGGATCTGGAGTGCAGTGGCTGCTCGCTGCAGCCTCCACTTCCCAGATTCAAGCAAATTCTCCTGCCTCTGCTTCCTGAGTAGCTGGGATTACAGGCACCCGCCACCATGCCCAGCTAATTTTAGTTTTTTTAAGTAGAGATGGGGTTTCATTATGTTGGCCAGGCTGGTCTCAAACTCCTGACCTCAAGTGATCCGCCCACCTTGGCCTCCCAAAGTGCTAGAATTGTTGTTTGGTTTTAAGATGAACAAATTTAAAAGATCGAATGTGTAATTTCATGAATACAGTTAATAATGTCTTGTAGGCTTAAAATTTGCTAAGGTAGTAGACATTAGGAATTCTCACTCCAAATCAATTTGAGTGTGTTAATTATAGTACAATGTGTACACATCAAATTTTTATGTTGGACATTCATAATTTTTATTTGTAAAAGAGTTGTTACACACACAAATAAATATATATGCATGCATGTATATGTATGTATACCCCAGTAAGCTTTATAGTAAATAAAAACAAATTTAAAATATAGTTATTTAAAAATAACGTAAAAGGTGGGAGTTTAATATATGCTCAGCAATCTTCCAAGCTCCCTAATAAAACAGTATTGTTTTTAAATGTAGGGAGTAGATATATTAAATTATGTTACTGTTGATACTGTAACAATGTGGGCATAGAGTTTAAATTACCAATCTCAGTTTTTACTTAGAAAATAAAATTTTGAAGTAAAATAAGTTTAGATTTTCTTATATTTAGTGTTCTGATAAAATCACTGAGTATGAGCTTCTGTAAAATCACATTTGAAACCTCCATAGGATAGAAAATCATAAAGCTGAAAACACAACATATGTTTGTGGTGTTCCTGGGATTTCTGAACCAAATGCCAATATACCACTACTCTCACAAATTTCAGACAAGATGCAAAAAGAGAATTAAATGGTATAAAATAGAGTTCCTCAAAAATATGTAGATATGCCTATATTCCACAAAGCAATGGAAAAGCAGTCAGATTATATAGTGCCTTATAAACCATGAACAGGACTTTGCTTCACTCTGTAACCTCAAAGGAAAATCACTTCATGGTAGTGGAATCCTTAGAGAACTTAAGAGCATGGGGCAGAAGATGCTCCTGTGAGAGGAAGACAAAGAAACTCAGGCTTTTCTGAAGCAGAGCTGCCCAAACCACATTTTCATTTCTGGCTTTCTCCTTGACATTTGGGCCTCTAACCTGTGTCATCTACTTTATTTACTCCTACCTGCCTTGAAATTTGGCTACTATCACCTGTCTCTTTAAACTCCCAGGCTGTTTTCTTTGTTCTAGACAGGTGACCAGGTCTGGATTAGACACAGCAAGACCTGTTTCATTAGAAAAAATAACATGACTCTTGCTGGCATGCTCCAATTACCAACCTAGTACGGTGCTTGGTAGGAAAACAATTTTTTAGAAGGTTCTAGAAAATTACTCCCAAAATACTATTTTCTGACATTAACTATACAATATTTAGAAAGGACTTTAAATGTATAGGTTCTTTTTGTTTGTTTGTTGAGATGGAGTTTAGCTTTTGTTGCCCAAGCTGGAGTGCAATAGCATGATCTCGGTTCACTGCAACCTCTGCCTCTCAGGTTCAAGTGATTTTCCTGCTTCAATCTCCCAAGTAGCTGGGATTACAGGCACATGCCACCATGCCCATCTAATTTTTTTTTTTTGTATTTTTAGTAGAAATGGGGTTTCACCATGTTAGCCAGGCTGGTCTTGAACTCCTGACCTCAGGTGATCTGCCCACCTCGGTCTCCCAAAAACGTATAGGTTCTTAGCTCCACTACCCAACACTACTGAATCAAAACTTGGTAGTGTAATTAGATTTTGAGGTGTGGGCAACAGTATCTTATGCCACTAAAGTTCTGGAATTACCAGTCATCTAGACTGAAGAATTTAGACCTTAAAATTTATGTCAAGATGAAACATTTTGAAGATTTTATTTTCTACACCAACAAATTCCCAAGTTTTCCTTAGAAGCAGAGATCAAAAACTCATTCATGCAAATGACAAACTCTCAGGTAACATTTCAGGAGTGAAAAATATGAAATTCATAGTATGAAATATAAATTGTGTATTGAAGTTATCCTCACCCAGGGAGACCAGGTTTCTGTAGTTCTCGAACATCACATCCCTATACAAATTTCGCTGGGCAGGGTCCAGACATGTCCACTCCTCTGGAGAGAATTCTATGACCACATCACTGAATGCCAATAGTCCCTGGGGGGAAAAATACACACACATTTACAAAATGTGCCATGGGCAGAGTTCTTAATTTGACTCCAACTGAATTGAAGAGAGTAAAGTGAACTTTTTCTGGCATAAATTGTCCAGTAAGATACTGTTTAAAACACAAAGATTCTCAAATGCATTCTGTAACTCTAAGGAAAGAGGATGGCATAAGATTTACAAAACCAGTGTAGATGCTATACTTTTGTTAAGCGTTATAGTATAAAAATAAGAGTGCCAATACAGGCATTACATATTGGACAGCTATATTTACATTACACAAGATAAGTTGGATAAATTTCTCAGAAGGAAAAATCATCTGAAGTGCCTCTCAGATTTTAATGCATATGACAAGAAATTGGAAATCTGTTTAAAATGTAGATTTTGATTCAGAAGGTCTGGGCTGAAACCTGACTTTCTGAATTTTGAACAAGTTCACCTGTGATGCCAATGCTTCTGAACCAAGGAGAATATTCTGCCAAACATTAAGTGGCAGAGCCTGCATTTATCTCAGTTCATTTGACCATTAAATAAGAGCCTTCATTTTCCAAGGTCAAATAATCTAAGAAGGAGAACTTCCAAATTAAATGTGATGGTTCATGCCCATCAGTTATTAAATCTCCCCAATGTACTTAATAATACAGAGAAAACTAATTTGCTTTATAGTGAAGAAATCTGTCAGAAAGCATCTTAACCTAGTGAATAAAATTAACACCAACTGTAACAGAAAAAACTGGTATCATGTGTAAAAATGCACAGGAGGAGGTTACAACATTATTGCTATAACAGCATAGGTCAAGAAGGCAAAATCTGAATCTAATCATAAAGAAACATCAGTTTCATGCAAAATTCCATCAACTTTCTTTTAACTAATCCAAGGACCCGAATCCATCTCCAGTGGGAATCTTGGGCATCCACACCTTCCCATGTTCAACAGATACAAAAGAAACATTCATTTTGCAGGTCAAAAATTTATAGTAAAGATTGCTTATGGCACTTAAAAAGCCTGAATGGATATAAAACATTGATATATAGGAAAGAAATATTTTTCAGAGCCCCTTGACTATCATAAGAAGAAAAATTTAAAAAGTATTTGAAATAAATTTATTAGGCAGAAACATTACAAATATATAAATAAAAGTCTGCAAGTTTTAAACACATGACATTTCTGGAGAAACAGCTGACCCAGCCCCTGACCTAGTACTCATTTACCCGAGAACCAGCCATTGCTTCCTCTTTTTCTGATTTCTGTTCAGATGAGATTATCTGGACAAATCACACATCTTGAGAATATGCCTTTAGAGATGTCAGCACAACTCCTTCACCTGCTATGACCACACACACAGGCAGAAGGACCTTGAAATGCAGAAAAAGCTACTTTCCTGTTTCTTCATCATACAAGACAGGAACAATGAGCTCCTACATAAAGGTCAAAATGTGAGTTTTCATTTTCCTGCCATCAAGTGCCCTTCTGTCCCATGGAAGCCAGCAATTTTGGCTACAATAATAAAAATATTGGCTGCACTGACTTGACCACACCAAACCAAAGGAGAGCAGGCCCTGTGACCTTCCTCTGGAACAAAGGCTGAACTCAACTCTTTCAAATGTATCTAAGGGCCCTCATGCTTGACCCTGGCCTTACCTTAGGATCACATGGGGTACGAAACTAAAACAACAATGTTCTTACCCAGACCAATAGACAGAACCTGTGGGGAGGGTACAAGTGAGAGTATTTCTTTAAACTGGGCATGTGATCCTAATTGGAGGCTTGGGCTGAGAGCCATTTAGCTAAGCATTGCTTCTGAAACTTCAATGTGCATATATCATTTGCTATTCTGAGCCCCACTTTAAGTAATGTGATTCTGTAGGTTTGGAAGAGGTCTATTAACTGGCTCCTGTAAGAAGTCCCTGTTCATGTTAATGTTGCTCCTCCTAGGTCCATCACGAGTAGCACTTAGAAGTAGAAAACTACAGGCACAACAAACAGAGTCCCTTTACACAATACTCTTAGCCCAATACAAATATTTTTGGTCCAAAGTGAAGACCACCAGTCACAATTCTGAAACATGGCATTATCTGCTAGCCCTTTAAAGTTTAAAGAGGACCACAATGTCTGAGCAAATCTCCATTTGGGAAACAACTTGTGCATATACATTAATGCAATGTTTATGGAGCACGTACTATGTGCTGGGAAGTACATTACAAAACACTATGCGGGGAACTTCACATTAAGTGAGTTAATCTTCATAAAACCCTGGGAGGTAGATGCGAAGTGTCTCATAATTGCCAGGATGTGAATACAGGGCATACTCTTTCTATTTCTTTTTCCATTTATCTATCACTGATTTTAAAAATAAAACGTATAGGCCGGGCGTGGTGGCTCATGCCTGTAATCCTAGTACTTTGGGAGGCTGAGGCGGGTGGACCACCTGAGGTCCAGAGTTCGAGACCAACTTGGCCAACAAGGCGAAACCCCGTCTCTACTAAATATACAAAAAATTAACTGGGCATGGTGGTGGGAACCTGTAATCCCACACTTGGGAGACTGAGCCAGGAGAATCGCTTGAACCCAGGAGGCGGGGGTTGCAGTGAGCCAAGACTGTGCCATTGCACTCCAGCCTGGGTGACAGAGCAAGACTCCATCAAAAAAAAAAAAAAAAAAAAAAAAAAAAAAAAGGAATAAAATAAAGCTAAATATAGATGGAAGAGACACAGAAATAAGTGTGGCATATAGGTTAGAGGAACTTTTTATTGTTGTATTTATATTTACTGTTTTATAACTTGGAGAACAACTACTGGATCCGAAGAAATAGAGAACAGGTTACTGAGTAAAATGTGTTTAGAAACACAGATTTTAATTAAAAAATAAAAATTAAGGCCCCAAAATATAGTCTTTGGCTCCCATTTATCTGTTTGGATTTGGGGAAATTGTGGGAACCAGGTTTGGGGAGGCAGCAAGAGCAGCTACTGAAACCTCTGATCTCCCCTAATCAGTTCTGTGAGGGCAAATTCCAGGGTGGAAACATATTTAGAAAAGGTTTCAAAGAGCGTGAATCTGGGCGGGGCTTGGACCCTGGGCTTCACATCTTTATACCACTGGCTGATTTTCAGTTATGTCTTTCCTAAGGCTGCCCACAAGAAACTTGACTTTCACAGTTTGTGTGATTTCAATTGTTTAAGCCAATTCTCTATTCTGTAATGTAACAATAAATATAACATAAACCTTTAGAATTTTCTGGCACTAATATATTAGAAGCTATATATTTTATTCCTAAGAAGGTAAAAGCATTTACTGCCACCACCACTGCTGTACTACTAATACTACTACCTCCTACTCCTACTCCTCCTCCTTCTCCTCCTCCTCCTCCTAATAATTCTGTTCAAGAATGGCCATTCAGGCCAGGTGCGGTGGCTCATGCCTGTAATCCCAGCACTTTCGGAGGCCAAGGCGGGCGGATCATGAGGTCAGGAGATCGAGACCATCCTGGCTAACAAGGTGAAACCCCATCTCTACTAAAAATACAAAAAAATTAGCCGGGCATGGTGGCGGGCGCCTGTAGTCCCAGCTACTTGGGAGTCTGATGCAGGAGAATGGCGTGAACCCAGGAGGCAGAGCTTGCAGCTTGCAGTGAGCCGAGATCCTGCCACTGCACTCCAGCCTGGGCAACAGAGCGAGACTCTGTCTCAAAAACAAAACAAAACAAAACAAACAAACAAAAATGGCCATTCAGGTAGTGACATCAGAACTCACAATAACATTAGGGAAGTAAGGAGCTCAAATGAAGCCCAAGTTCCCTGTGCACCTATATCTCTGCTTTTTTAAAAAACTGGCCACATACTTCCAAATTCAAGCATTTACCTACATTTTCTAGACTGAAAGTTCATGCATGATGGAGCCATGACAGCTCCATTTGCTTTTCTAATAGCCATACCAAATGGAGGCAATTGGTCTATACATTAGTTTGCATCTCCAGATCTCCTCTTGGTTCTTCATCCAAGTACCAGGAAACTGAAGAAACCCCCATCTAGGTACCAACCAAGAAGATTCATTCTATGAGGGGAGAAACAAACCCTAGATGCCTTATTTCTCTTCCACTGAGATGAAAGCAGAATACCCCATCAACAGTCTTCACAGGACATCCCTAAATGTCTCATAGAATCTCGGATGCTGATGAGACGGGTTCCAGTAAGCCTAGGCTGATGTCCCCATGATGAATCAGGCAGGACCAATTCAAGGTACTTCTATGAAGCCAGGAAAGTAAATTAAACTGCCCTTGTAAAGCAGCCACCCATGTTGGATACTACCTGTCTCTGATCAGCTAACTCTTGGGTAAGAGGAAAGATAAAACTATCCTACTCCAGTAAGAGTTCACAGATGAGGTGTAATTGTGGTCATGACTGGACGTTTTGTGGTGCTGACCTCTCATTGCTAAGGTACTTGTTTACACTTACAGATTCTTCCAGGTTTTGCTGAAGGTAGGCTTTACTCTCCAAAAGAAACTCGGAGACAGGGTGCTCTACTTTTTACTATTTGTACAACTGCAGCAGGTCACTGGACAAAATCTACAAAACATGGAGAAACCCACCCCAAAAGAGGGACTTTACAAAGTCTATGTTGATGTCTCACAAGGTAGATGTCTCCCCTGAGTTTTCTATCCATCCTCAGTTCAAAGTCTAGCCCTTTATTTTGCATCTTAGGCAAATGACAGCCCCTCTGTATGGACTCTAGGCAGAGTCAACCTGGTTTACTATTTCTGGGAGCTACAGAATGGGGAGAAAATCTAGAGGAGATATGCCCTCATGGAGGCTTCTCTGACAGATGCTGAAGAACCCCAGGACCTAGATTCAAAAGTTTAAGCTGCAGACTTAGGTCTTTGAAGGGCAGGAATGTGACAGGTGCCCTCTGTAGATTCCTGGGCATTTGGACAGCAGGAGAAGGAATGAAGTTGAGGTTCTTAACGCCTACTCAATGCACAGATGTGAGCCCAATT